GCATACATAATATACATACACCAACTACATAATATGGGGGGAAGGGGCTGACGGATAATCCAAAAGGTCGGTTAATAGTACATAAAGTCTACGGAAATAAAAGACACATTTTAAAGTACCTTTCCCTAACCTACTTCATTTAATTCCCTCTAATCATTTTTGTTCATTTGCCATTCATATTTCAATAGAATTTGCTTTAAAACATTGACCACTTTAATAAATAAATATGAACCAGCACAGAAACCGTGAATAAAAAATGGAAAAGTCAACGAACATATGTCATCACAAAAATTGTGACCAAGTCCCATGTTGCTGATCTGGCTTTCTACCTCATTTACACACAATTGCAGGGTCTCAGTTGCTTCTCTTACTATTGACAACACAACATACATATATTGTTTCTCACTCTTGATTTTTTTTTTCATTTTTGCATTTCTTTATGGTTCTTTTATACTGCCAGATTCTGGGGTCACTAAGTCTAAGGGGATGACTTAACTCTAATCTTAATTTCTAAGGGTAGCTGCCACCAGACCCCCTCTGGACAGCATGTAGCTCGTTAGGTAGCGTGCAGAGTGGACTAGGCATTGGGTTAGGTTTTCCATTGACCAGATCGATAAGGGTAAAGAAGGGTGAAACCATAACATGTCTTAATTGATTTATTCCTTATAAAACATACTGGTAAAAAACATATACATGAATTGGCCTTCCTCAGAAGAACAACGGAAATGTGGTTACCCAGATGGGCCCCAGACTCTTACATTGATGGCGTGTCATCCACCTACTTATTGCATAACAATCTGTGACCACCTTACCTCGGTCATTCCTTCTTACACTATCTCTTAACACATCAGACTGCTCCACCTGTATGGAATATAGCACCGTCGGTTATCATACATAGTAGCACCATCTCAACACACATGTTACACTCCATACCTGCAAGTATGGGACTCCTTGTGACTTTTAGGTATACACAACAGGCACCTCGTTCGCACACCGCCCTCGGTGGGTAAAGACGAGGGCTTCACCTAGAGACATACCAGCATTATTTCCACGCCTGGTATTATAGGTCGCTCCAAGTGGCGACCGCAGAGTTTCTCACGGTCTCCTTATATGTGACTATTCATTTGGAGTGGTGCGCTGGAAATCCACAGGTTCACCGTGGATTGGCATAGCGGGGAGTAGGCACCACCTGTTGTGACGCTCAAAGGGATAATGGCGGCCAGGCGGCAAGGTACTCCGACCGCATGGAACCTGAGGTGACGGTAGAACGAGGAAGACTGAGAAATAATGCCTGACGGGCAGTTATCCCACCCCTTAACACATTCCTATTACACTTATATATCCGGCAAAGCTTTAAACTGTAATAACTTCTATTTATAAACCTTAATTATAAGGCGGGATATAGCCCGCTAGGACACTGACCTGAGGTGACGGTAGAACGAGGACGACTGAGGGCATTGCCCCGCCGCTCCTCATCACGTAGGCCTACAGTTTCCAATCTTTAATCTGCACTTTTGTTTCTTATGGTTCTCACCTGAACACTTTTCGGTATATTGTCACTCATGCCTTATAAACACATATTTTAATCCTAAATTACACACTAAGGTAAGGTCTTGGTTTGCTAGTTCTTGGGTAAATTCATGGGGTTATAATATCAACGTGGCATCCGAGGCGGGTACATGACGCGCCTTGAAACAAAGGCTGAATGTTCATGGCGGGGGTGTATCAACTTCACTTAAAACTGTAATGAGGGATCCTCCTCTCACACATTGCACTATTTGAACACAGACATAAGATTCTCTGATCACTGTACCTGTCGTGGGTATATGTCACATGAGGATACGAGGTGTATTAAGTTCATACCGACGCATACAAGATATTTCCTTTCAAGTATAGTTTCTGGATCACTTCCAACACCTCACATAGTTCTGATACATTTATCCTTTTTCCAGATCATTGTTCTCATGTATTTTCATATGATATGTGGGGAAGTTATGTTCGCTACACGCTCACAGACGTAAATAGTAGGACTTTCAAACCCTGATCCACACTTAGTCTTACAGTACACTAGTCCGGCTCAACTGGACTTTAACATTCATCTTATGCCTACCCTGAGTGATCCTTAATGCTATGAATACATACACTTAATATGATATAACTGTACCTGGGTACAATACAACACATGGTCTAGGAACATTGAGTAGGTGAGTTGTCCTTTATCAATGTTTCCCGTTTTCTGAGGTTCTACAAGCGCGGTGCATTTGAATGTTATATAGCGTAATATGAATTAAATAGGGTTTTTAGGAATGACAATGATGTGCACAGTATACTTTATTACTATTATTATTATTACAGTGGTCCCTCGGTTAACGAGCACAATCCGTTCCAGCAGGTTGCTCGTTAACCGAAAAACTCGTTAACCGAAACCATTGTTTTAATGGGTTTTTGGGTAATTGGTTCCAGCTCACCAAAAATTGCCTAAATTCAACAAAAAGGGTAGAAAAGTACACTTACTTTGAGGTGTGTATGTAGAAGGCTACTGGATGATGATGATGATGATGGGAATTAGAATGGGGGTGGAGGAGAAGGGAGAAGAGAAGGCATTGGGGTGGAAGAGAAGTCACCCCATGGTGCCACTTCACCCATAAAATTTTAGTTCTCTTGGTTTAATTCAAGATTATTTTCCTTAAATCAACACTGCACTGCATTATATATTGTCAATATGTAAATTAAATATCAAAATGACCAATAATTTGCATGCAAACACAGAAAAAAGCGTTTAGTTGAAGAGGGTCTCAAACAAGATGTTCCCTCTACTGAAAAGAGAGAGACTGGCGCCTGTTTGGTGTGTTGCCAGGCTGGATGGCGCGCATGAAACTAGTGTCTTTACCTTCAATTAAGTTCAATAATTGTTAAAATGACTAAAAATTTAATATTAAACTTTAAAAATTAATGAATAGTATAAACTTCTAGATATTTACTAAAATAGTAAGGAATTTAAGCCCTAAAACCGATTACTGTATTGGCGGACTAATACTACAGCTCGACCGCCAAATGCAAGCAAAAACATGTTGAGGTCGGCTCTTAAAAAACTCGTTAATCGAGGGATTGCTCGTTAACCGAAGTTAAGAATCTTATGGAAGGTAAATCGTTAACCGAAATCTCGTTAACCAAGGCGCTCGTTAACCGAGGGATCACTGTATTATTATTATTATCATTATTAATATTATTACATCATCGCCCCGCAGGCCCCGATGTGGGTCAGTGACCTGTGCCCGGGTGGGCTAATCCCCGTAAAAAAAAAAATAAAAAAAATAAAAAATAAATAAAAAATTTAGGAGTTGGGATTGACGGTTAATCCGAAAGTCGGTTAATCGAGGTTTTAATATATATATATATATATATATATATATATATATATATATATATATATATATATATATATATATATATATATATATATATATATATATATATATATATATATATATATATATATATATATATATATATATATATATATATATATATATATATATATATATATATATATATATATATATATATATATGTAAATCCACAATGAAAACGTGATTTTATCAAAACAATACATATATATATATATATATATATATATATATATATATATATATATATATATATATATATATATATATATATATATATATATATATATATATATATATATATATATACTGACCCGACTTACACGGGGTTAGGGACCAAATCCAGGTCGTAAGTCCCACATAGATATAAATTTTTTTTTTTTTTTTTAAATAAAAAATCTACAATGAAATACAGTACAGTAATAGTAATGAATAATGATGAATGGATACAGTACAGTGAAAGTAATAAATAATAAGGAATGGTTACAGTGTGACAGCACTTACCTTTAATGTAGTCAGCTGAATGCACATGGGGCCCCCATAATTTTCTAATTATACATGGAGACTACATTAACTGGAAACGTTTCGGTATAGAAAATGCGTGTCATTTATAAAAAAAAAAAAAAAATTTAATAAAAATCTGCAGCGGTCAAAAGTCCATTTGGTCCAAGTCCACGTAGTCGTAAGTCGTCTAGTGTATATATATATATATATATATATATATATATATATATATATATATATATATATATATATATATATATATATATATATATATATATATACATATATATATATATATATATATATATTATATATATATATATATATATATATATAGTTATATATATATATATATATATATATATATATATATATATATATATATATATATATATATATATATATACAGTTAACCCTCACTTTACGCGGTCCCACATTCCGCGTTTCCACGTTTACGCGGTGCCCTGCCGGAACCCAGGATGCTCACATTCCGCGGTGCGTGTACCCCTTTACGCGGAGAGCGGCTGGCGAGCCGCGCCATTTTTGGATCCAAACCTCCCGCCATCCGCCATGTTGTGTAAGCTGCGCGAACATGGTGCGCACAAGGTCGCCCAGTCATCAAAACATTACCAGTTCTTCACCCGCCACCCACCACAGCCGGCCCAAGTCAGTGATAGTGATAATTATGGTGAGGATATGGACTTATATGGACTTTGGGGAGTTTGACAAAGAGGCCCTGCAAGCCTCTGTGGTGGATAGTGATACAATTGATACAAGTGATACAGGTGAGGGCCAATAATCTGCCACGCTTGTGTTGACATCAGCATTGTAGTTGCAAAAATATTACATTTCCGTGAAAGTATTATATCAAGCCCAGTATGAATAGAATATCACTAATATAAGAGTATTTTAACCGAAAACTACTAAAAAAACGAGTAACATATCTTGAACATCGGAAGGTTAGGTAAAGTCTTTTGTTTTCATGTAGTTTATCCTAATTTACATTCAAATGCATTATGTTTCAGCAAAACTACTATTAATTTCTGAGAATATGGAAATGTAATATTTTGCTGAAATGACGTACGCATTACAGTGGAAAGTGACGAAAGCAATGACTTTCGCTTTCTTTCCTTCAAAAGATGTTACCGTAATCGCTTTTCGAATGGTTTTCAGTTAAAAACTGTTGTATTACAATAATATTCTATCCTAATTCACTTGTGATGCAACAGTTTTTTTAACTGAAAACTATTCAAAAAGCGATTACGGTAACATCTTTTGAACGAAAAAGCAAAAGTCATTGTTTTCGTCACGATTTTATCCCACTTTCCACTGTAATACGTACGTCATTTCAACAAAATATATATATATATTATATATATATATATATATATATATATATATATATATATATATATATATATATATATATATATATATATATATATATATATATATATATATATAATATATATATATATATATATATATATATATATATATATATATATATATATATATATATATATAATATATATATATATATTCAAAGGAATAGGCACACATGCACCCTTAGAAGCTGGAGTGGTGGTTGAATGTGTTGAATGCTTAGGAAGCACGACTGTAGCACTACAATAAGTTTAGGATGCCTTTAAAACAATAAAGAAGTTCCAAAGTATGGCACCATAATGCTTAGGCAGCTGAGTACACAGTAGAGGTGCTCCTCTACTTAAGAATGTTCAACTTACAAACTTTCAGAGATACAAACATCATCACTGAGGGGGGTTACCTGCCAGAACAGGTGTTTAATGTGGACGAGACTGGATTATTTTGAAGAAAATTCCAGATAGAACAAACATTACCTAAGAGGAGAAGAGTGAGCCAGGTTTTAAGGCTGTATTAACGGGTATAGCTGTACTAAATATCCATAATCTTTTCATTTTTTACAATATGTTTGGTATCTACAAGAGTAAAGTTGGACTTACAAACAAGTCTCAGGAACGTAACTCGTCTGTAAGTAGAGGAGCACCTATATAGCGATGACAGTAAATAAATGCAATTCATTATGAGCGGGCAAACTCGGATAGCAGATTCAAACACTGCAAGAAGGGAGAGGATGGAGGACGGTAAGGATGTAGGGGAGGAGTGCGCGGCCTGGACGAGTGGCTCACAAACACGTCTCTGTGCATCTATGTCATGAGAGACATCACAGACCAAGCCACTGCTTGTCTCACCTACTCGGCTGGGTAAACTGAGCAGCACTGTAGCCAAGTTAGACTTGTCACACTTTGTCACAGTAACCACCAGGCTACTGGGCCAAGCTCTGGTGTTATAGTTATGATTATTATTATTACATTTTCGCCCCCCAGGTCCCAATGTGGGTCAGTGACCTGTGCCCGGGTGAGCTAAACCCTGTTTAAAAAAAAAAACCACATACATTCCAAAAACCGAAACACATCTGTCCTCAAGGATTTCGGATAAGGGATTGTCAACCTGTAAATAAAAATGTGGATGCAGCAATGGCCAGTCCCACCCCACTCCCTTCTTTATGGAGGGAGGGATCAGTTGTCAGGGAAGAGATTACTTTCTGATTCGGCTTGTCCTTTTATTTTGGAGTCAAATTACAAATAATATACCTGTACCATAATTTTTTCTATTATCTAATACTGTACAGTTATATTATTTATGATGAAACATACACCATAAGGGGCTGATCATATGAGAATATAATAATGAATAAAAACAAACTGGGGAAAGCGAAAAGGCCAGTCCCTACAGCACATTAACATGTGAAGTGTCATCACTCGTACCTATTAGCTCTCGTTAGGCTTATATCAAATCTCATTAGACAACTGTACAGTATCCCCATTAAAGACAATACAGAACATATTTTAATAATAAATAATGTAATATATTTTACAAAAATAAATTATTTTTTAATGAACTGTACTATTAGTATATATAAATGAAAAATGTAAAAGGAAACACACATGACATTTATTGCACACTAAAATACAAATTTAAGGGTGGCTGTTTAGTGGTACAGGCATGCGAGGCATGAATGGAGTTGTGTGTCACAGCCAAGACTGGAATTTTCCACTCTGTACTGGGGAAAGTTTTCTCCAAGTCGAAATTAATCATCTCGTAGGAGCTGTATTCATTTATTCAAATACCACTATATGCATACAATATATTGTAAATAAACAGAAAAGTATACTACTGTTGTACTGTTACGTACTATACACTCACCAGCAGATGCTGTCGTCTTGAGCCTACAGGAGACATACACTGTCCACTCTGCTAAATGTACAGTACATTATACATAACTGTAATCATTTTTTAGGTAATAACACTTGCGATGGAGGTGGGGTGGGGAATTAGTGGTCTCATGCTACTAACCTTCTGATGCAATATCAGGTCACCCATTGTCAGGGTAGGGGATTTGTGGGTCTCATGACCTGAAGATGTCTTGAATAAAGACAAAAGCTAAGGCGCTCTTAGTGTTTCCTTTTCCTGTACATACGGTACTTTTGCACTTACTGAATGTACAGTATACATACACTAAAAAACATAATTTGTACCCCTAAAATTCAAAATCACTCATAATTCGTAATGCTTTGCTGTTACAATATACAGTGGGGTATGCTATAAACGAATCTAATTGGTTCTAGAACCTTGTTCGTTATAGCATTCATTCGTTATAGGATTAATCCATTCCAGGCCCCAAATACAACCACTTAACACTGAAAAATATAATATAAAATTGTAAAAATTGTAAAAAAGTGCATAAATATGCATCTAAACCCCTGAAATAAAGAATATCATTAATACTTGTAATAAAAAAACAATAAATTATTAAAAAAAAAAAAAAAAATTTAAATAATGTTCGTTGTAGGAGTTTCGTTCGTTATAGCATTCTCAATTTTATAGGTAAAACCGTTCGTTATAGGAATATTCGTAGTAGGGTCCGTTCGTTATAGCATACCCCACTGTACAGTAGTATATATTTTATTTTTTGTAATACATATTTGGTAAAATTTCAGATTATGAGCCATTTACGAATACTGTACATATATATGACACAAGTCGCCATGAGGCCATGGGATGCAACCGCCCACCTCAGTATAAACAAGTATTATACCTGTCACATGTGTCAGTCACAGTCAGTTCATATTGGTCCATTGAAGTGCACATCTATGGTCTACACGCAAGTTTTTCCATCATTACCCAGTGTTTGAGCCAGTATGTCTAATAACCCTAAATTTATTATATTGTACTTAGAAACGTTTAAATTTTGATGGGGGCAGATAACAAAAACGTACAGTTGTTTTGGGTTTTTCCCCTCAAGAGAAGGTGTCCCTCATATTTTGTAAAATCTCTTATTTCGTAAAGGCTAAGCCCCTAATATTTCGAATTATGGGGGTTTACTGAAACTGTAAACACTTTTTACGTCATAACACAACTTTAATGATGTATTATTGGCTGATTCTGTCCTGGTACAGTAATGTACAGTACTGCACAACATATTTTATGCAAAAACAGCAGCTAGTGAGGTAACAACCTTTACAATGTCAGCAGAATATGAATCAAGCATACAAGCTACCAAAAGCAGATAGCCCACCTATGCGCCTCTCACGTGGGGCTGTGACGGAGCATGCTGCAATCTATCAGAACTCTCTCAAAATTTGCTTCCAGGTCCAGTACAAAGAGGTTTGGAGAGATTTTATCAGAATTTTTCTGGAAAATGTGCCTGATTTTCATCCCCAGACCCTGTACTGAGATATTTTTCCAGAAAAATTCCAGGCCAATTTCCATTTTGGCTATTGAAGAGTTCCAGGGACTGGGGATTCTGGCTAATGGGGAGATTACTTATCCATTCAAGATGCAATTACAAAATCATGGTGATTTGTCTCATGAGACTGTTCTAAAGAAGATTATGTGTATCTGACCCACAAACTTGTTACAGTATCCACAAAACACTATTCGGTACTGTATTGTTTAATGGCAACTTTAAATTAGACTTATTGTACTGTACATATAAGCAAATGTCTGGTGTTGATAAAGTAATTTTGACAACCAACCAAGTATTTGTATCAACAAGACTTCAAGAAATCAAATGTATTGTGAAGATAAAATAATTCTGTCATACAAATATTTATCTACAAATTATTGTAAAGTAAATTGGAAGTAAGTCATATCCTTAGGATAACATCACTTGTATTATTGGTGCTTTGTAATGCACATATATCAGTGTTTATGTTATACATTAAAACCTCCGAAATTCATAATTTTACATGCTAATAATTTCGCTATTTTTGGAAATTCTGAACATCAAAACTTACAATGGCCTTTACCACAATATATAAAATAACTTCTGAAATGGGCCACATGGCACATAGCTTCCTCTCGCCCAGAGGATAGCAGAGGCAGCATCTGTCAGCTGGCACAAGTAATATGTAGTGAGTAGAAGTATGGTCCATCACTGACAAACTTTGTATTTTAAACATTTTGGAAGCCTACAGTGTTTTGTAATGTCTTTCAACAAATGTACTGGGTGCACTTCTACATGAGCTGTTAAGAAAACTGTATTGAAACCAAGAGGAAAATACAAGTCTGTCAATTGCTGATAAGTTGAAAATACTGGATAGGTCATCTTTGTTGGACGTGTACAGAAGTGATTATAATTTGGAATCCACTTTATTTCAACAAGGTAGAGTCCCTAGTAATCAGAATTGTGGAGGTTTTAGTGTACAGTATTTCCATTATTATCATAAAGTCTGATGAATTGTAATTTTCCAGTGATCGCAACATGTTCTACCCTCACAATATAAATACTTCAGCACATGATACATCCTCCATGAAACTGTCTATGGAGTATAAGGAGGTGGAGGATGGCCTTCAACTGGTGGTGGAGGTTCAAGGTCACTTAAGTAAGGGATGTGAGCTGATAGTGAGCTACCTGGTGGCACAGAAAAGGTCTCCAATCCTTCAAGGCCGCCCCAGTCCTCCATCAGGGGAGCAGAATCTGAGTCTTGGAATAGATGTGCTGGTCTCAACCAGCTACAACCCACTGCTATAACTGACAAACCACCTAGAATGACAGAAATGGAACGCATTAATACTAAATAATAGTTTCTGTTTACACTGTACAGCCCCCAATGTGAAAAAATACATTTATTACATGATTTATATCTTCAGTAGCATAGCTGAAATTCCCCATGGTCATTCAGCTCCAATAAAGGTCATACTGTAATAGGTAGCAAAAACTTTGAAAATTAGCTTTTAGTAAGATGAAATGAAAGGTAAGTGCAATAAATAATAAACTGTAAACAGGATTCATAAAATGAGGGGTCTACATTCTTCATTACTGTATGTACAGTGGCCTCCACATGAACAGACCACAGCCTAGGTGTATATGGGGCAAATTTACAAGATGTGGCAGCACAGTGCCTTAGTCATGGGTGTGAATCTGTGGATTACCCTGTTTGCCAGTTCCCCATTGTTCAGTCCTCATCACTCAGTTGTGGCTACACAACAATGCTGCATAACAAACATTACAGGGTCTGTTTATCTTTTTACGTCCTTTATTGTTTGTATCATCGCAAACAGGATAATTTAAGTTTCACTCCCATTCATTCTCAGGCCTGACTATGGCAAAGCATTATCCCATACCCAAGCCCTCACACACTCCCTGGCTGTGGTACGTTAATGTGGAGACAACGAATTTGGCAAAGAAGGAGTGTTAGCTGCACCTGCTTCATAATTAAACTAAAAGAAAAAATCAAGTTGTGATGTCAAAAGAGAATTGCAGATTTTAATTGCCACCGCTATGTAACATTGCCAAGTTTCCACCAACCCCTACACTCTCATACACCACCCCCTTCCCCCCTGCCAGCCAAATTCTTTTTGTCTACAACTGTACCTAATATATACAGTGGGGTCTCGTTTTACATGCTTCATGCATGCGCAGTTATAGCCTATGTGATTAGTTGAGGTGTGACCACTTTTATAACTTATCCAGTAAGCCATGGGTTGCACGGGTAGCAGTGTTATGACAATAGTATTACAATCTTACTTTGTTTAGTTCCTTCGTTTCATTATCCCTGAAGATCATAGTAACTTGAAGTTACGTAAATCCTGAGGAGTGCGTATAACTTTAATGGCCTCATCATAATCAATCACGTAATGATCAAAGTCTTTCTCTGCCCTCTCTAAAGATCGCTACACAGATTCTTCATCAACAAAATCATTGATTGTTGATGCCAGCAACAGTTCAATTAGATAATAAGACTGATTTATGGGCTCACTTTCACTAGCATTCATTGGGTCAGGCTCACTTTCATCACTATCAAGGTCAATGCAAGTCTCGTCACTGTCCACTTCTACCTCCTCACAGTCTGTATGTTCTTGTTGTGATACATTAGTGTCACTGTTTGTGTTACCATTAGACTCACTGATGAGTGTTTGCAGGTTGCCATTCTGGCTGTTATAGTCACCAAGTGCCCAGAAATTGGTGAAATGGTGTCGATGTTATCCCTGCCAAGCTTGTCGAAGCAGTCGTCTGGGCAGGGAGGGCTTGGCAACCTCCTGTGCCCACTTGTCAACACTACACTCTCATCCTGCCTTTTTTTTTTCGAAAGGCAAGCTGTACTCTATTCATACGTAATCTCCAACGGAACAGTCAGCCTTCCCTCCATTACCCTCCATAAAGGGGGGGGGGGGCAATGCCATATTTGCCAGTTTGAATTTATTTACAGTACTCTTTATTATATTCTCGTATGAGTGTACTGAACAGAGTCATACATGATAATGTTAACGTAAAATTAGACAATTCGTATTACGCTCACTAGCCCATAAAACACGTACTATAACTTCATTATTGAGTCCCCCAGTTGACACATCCATTTTCTTACCATGAGGCCTCCAATTTCTCTTGTATACTTCAGAGACTCTTATGTCAATCTTGTAGATTTGAATTTAAGAATGAATGCGAATGTGTTACATTCAAGATCCATTGTGAGTGATGTTGAAAACTTCAACTGTAGTTACCTTTAGTAAAATTTTAAAGTTTCAGTGTAGAGTTTGCTAGTGAGAGTGATGAATACTGACATCATCCTGTGAGACATCCGGAGTTTTCAATTGCAATTGAAGCTAGCCTGTTTTAATTCCCAATCATCAGACTATCTGATGATTGCATTGAAAGTATTGTCAGTTTTATATTTTAGAAAGTCATCAATCTTCTGAAAGAAACGTGTCACTTTCTTATTGCCCTAAAATCTAACGGCAAAAAGAGACTTGCCTCTGTCAGAGATTATGCTTCTTCAGCAGAAAATGCCACTGCCAGTATGCGCACTTTTTGGAGTTTAACCCCAACGCCCCAGTTGACGTTCCGGAAAGTGCGCCTTTTCGCGGCATTGTTTGAATGCCCAGCGCGGGTTATCAGGTTCCAGCATGACTATTTGCGTGTCACGCCACACGCTTGGCCACAGGAAACCTACTTTTGTTTGTTTCATTTTCATTGTTTGTCCATTTTATCATGTTGTATCAAAGTAATATTGCTAAAAGTTGTGCAGTTGTATTGTAGTGTAGTATTACCGGAAAATAATGCTATGATTATGTTATAAATGTATTTATTTGTGGAATTATTATTCTGATAATTATTTAGATGCATTACTTGCTCTACCAAACACAAAGACAGCCAGACAGCCTGGTGACAGACTGCGTGTGTCTCGCCGAGCACTTTTTATGAAAAATAATGTAAATAACTATTCTAAATGAATTATTTATAGGAAATAAGTATTATGATCAGTAAACACAATAATTAATTAAAAAAAAAAAAAAAAAAACCCTTCCGCACGGAGGCTGCCGGGCTTGTTATTGGTGCCGCCAGCGTCACTAGTATATACAACGCAGCTGGTGGGCTCTTTGTTTTCACACATCTGAACAGGGAAAGGAGAAAAACTCTCATGTTTCTTACGGCATTTTGTGTCCCTATTCAACATGAGCAAGATAGCAAGTGATGGTAGTGCTGTTTCAAAAGCTAATACCGTAGAAAGAGTATAAACTTAGCCAAGAAACTAGATGTGTTAAAACTATATGAAAAAGGTGAGAGGTTTGTGGATATTACATGGAGCAAGCAATGAACATATTTTCTGAAGTGGATCCATTAACAGAACAAAGTCATTAAAATTAACATGGACATGAAAAATGCAAACGACCTCTACAGCTTTATTATTCGAAGGCCTAAACCATCAACTTCAGCTACACCATCAAATTCAGCAGCAAAAGCAGCTTCAACAACAACATCAGGTTCAGTAACAGCTTCAGCAATAGCTTTATGGAAAGCTACAGCTTCAGCCAGAGTTGAACCTGATGACTTTGTCATCTGAGTAAAAATTCACACAACATCATTGACTGTCCTTATGTTTTAGACTTTACCACCATTGGTGAGTAGACTTTTTGTTTTACATTCGTAAGTCTTATTTAAAACATATATGAACAGTATATAAGTGTTGCTTTCATATTCTTATGTAGAGAAATGACGATGTCTTCACACGTACTGTACGCACTTACTGTACATACGTTGGCGTTCCCAATCGTCTCGCTTTAGTTCTTTACCATTAGTGGTTAACTACTTCTATTGTTCCGTTCATTAACATTATGTAACATTACTTAAAACATACATACAGGTATTCATTTTTTTTTACATTAAGTTCACTACAGCTACAACCAGGGTCTTATTTTCTTCAGTTTCTTATGTAGAACCATCGTCACTCACGAAATCAATGCCGTCTTGTCTTCTCTTGTGTGTTTTAATATTCTACATATTAATAATGAATTGCATTGTTCATTTCACATACATAAACATTAATTCAATCAAATACATATTCAGTAATAAACAACAATGAATCTTTTGTACATATTCATAATAAGATAAATGACACGGTATCCTTAAATGAACTCGTATATTTGGGTATTCCCAATCCATCGAACGTTTTTCTTTTCCATTAGTGGTTAGCTACTTCTATTGTTCCATTTATTAACATTAAATAACATTACTTAAAACATATACAGCCACTCCTCGACTTAAGACCTGCTCGACTTACGACCACCCAGACATACAACCGCCTCAGTCGTACCAAATTTTTTTCAAATTACGTATTTTCAAGTCCCGACGTAGTGATTGCGCTGTGTACTGACAAAATTTTTGTTTGTAATTCCTTTTAATATGGCTGGCATGCTTAAAAGTGAGAGTTTTGTGGTGCTGAGAAGAAAAAGAGACACCCATTTTAGATTTTCTATGTGTTATCTTCGCATTTTCGACTTACGACCTGGATTTGGGTCCCTAACCCAGTCGTAAGTCGAGGAGTGGCTGTATATTATTTTTTTTTTTACATTAACTTTACAACAGCTACAACCAGGGTCTTATTTTCTTAATTTTCTTATGTAGAACCATCATCCAGGACTCCCGGCTGTAAAAACAAACGAAAACAATGGCGTCCCATCTCCTCTTGTGTGACCATATTATTATTCATTTATATTGTATAAGGTGCATTCATAAACATTATTTAAAGACTGTAGTTTGCATTTTTCATTAATTGTATTGTTTTGGGGGAAAAAGAAGGTAAAAAGCCACACAAAAGATAAGAAAAGGTCTGACTTGGGGACGCATCTCATTATTACCGGGTACTGCTTTATTTTAATGGTAATTTATGATTCACAATACGATGATTCACCTTACACTGGAATATTAGAGGACACATTACCGCCGATATTCGAGGCTTTACTGTAAATGTAATGGAATAATGAACCAGTAGAGTGCTGCTTCAGATAGCGCTCTATTTTCCAGGAATGTATCTTGAGCACTAACCACGGTATTACTGTAAACATTTTTACATGCATGGAAACTAGCACAAAGACTGATAAAGAGTCAAGGGGGGGAAGGGGTCTTGGGTTGCTATCTCGTGTGTCCCGTGCATAGTGACACGATTTGACAAATGGCAATGTAATATTTTTTTCTTTCCTTTCAAGTATTTTTTTTTTTTAATCTTCACATTTACTGGTACAGTTTACTCTATTTTATTTTATGTACAAAAATTATACACAAAGAATAGCTTCTTTCACATGCAAACCATCCTCTGGGTGACAGTCTGGCAGTCACCAGGAACGGGCAGAGCCTCCCACGCCATTCCGAGATTGCATCATCATATCTCGGAATACTGTATTGCGCGTTATTGCACATAAATATTTCATAGCAGTGACAAAACACGAAAATCATTCAGGCAGTGACCATCATAAAACTGATCTTAGCCATCACATAGCAGTAAAATTTAAGTTTTTTAAAAACTTAAAACTGATCGATCGTATATAGATCCGTCATATAATGGTCAACAACTGTATAATGGATTTAGTTAATTCTCACTTCGATAATTTAACACTAATGTATACAGTATTATGTTAATATTGAGGATGGTGTGGTGGTGAGGAAGCTAGTGTGGCCAAATAAAGGTAATCAGACAACAATGTAAGTTATATATACTGTACCTCCATCCCCTGGTATAAAAGGAAAAAAAAATTATGGGAATAAGTTTACTAAGTAAGAAAATGTATGGCAGAGATTATTTGAGATAATTAAGACACTTGTGATAGTGAAGAATAACATAACAACCACAGCCTGACTCAAAAAGTTTTATGAACCAATGTCAAGGAATAATTGAGAAAGATCAGACACTTTCCAACTGCACTGACTAACCACTACCCCACAATATGACCTACCTATCAATTAACATTCAGGTCCCTATTTAATTCTGGGAAGATAGTGACAACTGATGTACAGTAGCTAAAACAACTATCTGTGTAGGTGGAGGTCGATATGCTCTGAAATTTTACGTGCGACTAGTGACAGCCCTCATATACCAAAATTTATCATCCATGTTCTCATACTGTTTCCCACAAAGTATGCACAGATAGTTGTTTTAGCTACTGTACATGAACTTGCCTATAGTTTCACCCTGCCAGGGAATGAACCCAGGGCTACTTGCTACTGATGATCATTACACCACAGGTATACCACATTTGTATTAAGGAGCATGAGTGAGAAGTGTCTGAAGCAAATAAAGCTTGGCTGTGTCAAAGTCACTCCATCAAACTGAGTAACCTTTACATTATGTATCTCAAAGACTTTAAAACTATGTACTGTTCATCTTACCTGCAAATATGAGGAGATAAAAACCAACATCCAGTTTGACCTGTACACGAGCTACAGCCGTAGGACCCACCACAGGTTTGGTGGCCTCCTGCTGCGTCTCAATCAACATAATTATGTAGTAGCACACCCCAACACACAACACACACACCAACACTGAAATAATACAATAATCTTTGTAATTTTAACTCTTTACAATAAAGATCAACATAAAAGCTTAGAGCAGGGCCCTGTGATTTATGATAAATGGATGAATGAGCCTTAAATCTCAATTAGCTTCTCTCTTTTTGAGTAGTGACTGTAATAAAAAGAGGCACTGCAGCTGAGTGGATACAGCACTTGACTCCTTACCCAGGGGTCACTGGTGAAATTCAAATCCCATGAGTGAACCTAAGAGTTAACCCAGCTGCCTTACAATTCAGTTGGGGAAAGAGAGACAGTAGACTGCAGTACCAGCCTATTCCATTTCCTCCTTTGTACTTTTAATGTTTCCCATGATAACTAAGATTGGATCACAACAAGTTGACAACACACAAGGATGGCAATACAGTGGTCCCTCGGTTAACGAGCACAATTCGTTCCAGAAGGTTGCTCGTTAACCGAAAAATTCCTTCACCGAAACCATTGTTTCAATGGGTTTTTGGGTAATTGGTTCCAGCTCACTGAAAATTACCTAACGTCAACAAAAAAGGTAGTAAAGTACACTTACTTTGAGGTGTGTATGTAGAAGGCTCCTGGATGATGATGATGATGATGATGATGATGATGATGATGATGATGATGATGATGATGATGATGATGGGAATTAGAATGGGGGTGGAGGAGAAAGGAGAAGGGAGAAGAGAAGGCATTGGGGTGGAAGAGAAGTCACCCCATGGTGCCATTTCACCCATAAAATTTTAGTTCACTTGGTGTAATTCAAGATTATTTTCTTTAAATCAACACTGCACTGCATTATATATTGTCAATATGAAAAATAATTTCAAAATGACCAACAATTTGACTGGAAACACAGAAAAAAGCACTTATGTTGAAGAGAGTCTGAAGCAAGATGTTACTTCCACTGAAGAGACACAGAGACTGACGCCTGTATGGTGTGTTAACAGGCTGTTTGGAGCGCAAAAAACTAGCTTCCTATACAGTACTTGAATTATGTTCAATAATTAATTGTTAAAATGACTAAAAAATTTAATATAAAACTTTTAAAATTATTGAATAGTACAAACTTCTTGATGTTTAATAAAATAGTAAGGAATTTAAACCCTAGAACCGATTACTGTATTGGCGGACTAATACTACAGCTAGGTGGACCGCCAAATGCAAGCGAAAACATGTGGAGGGGCGCTCGTAAGAAATTCGTTAATCGAGGGATTGCTTGTTAACCGAAGTTAAGAATCTTATGGAAGGTAATTCGTTAACCGAAATCTCGTTAACCGAGGCGCTCGTTAACCGAGGGATCACTGTACTGTATTTTGACGATATGACTGTGATATTTTTAATTTTAATGTAATTAATCATTTCCACCACTTAACAGATTATCTGCTATTCAGGAACGTGATCTGTTTTTTGTTACTTTGTTATGACCTTCACTGTCCAGTGTTAGTACAGTACAGGAGGAAACTGCAATACCCGGAGAAAACCAGTCATGTATGGTAATGAATACCACGCAGTAGTAAGAGGCATGAACACTACAATGATATGCTATAAAAGATGAGTAGTGGCAGTATTTACAAGGGAGACCCATTATGTTGTGTCAATATTCCAAATGTATTTCACAACACTTCTAATAAAACTTACCAGAGAAAATACCAGCAACAGCATTCTTCCTGAAACACTTCATGATCCTCCCCGTAGGGCCAGTTATGTCAAGCAGCATCTGCACCAATGAGGAGCAGATCATTGCAAAGATCAGCCCAATCACAATCCTCATCAATGCTACAATTTCAGGAGTCACACAAAACTTGAGTTCTGGTGAGGGAATGAATGACACCATATAAATAATGATGATCAACTTACACTCTTGTTATAGTAATTTACTTCTTTCATCTCAATGTTGATAAATGTGAGATACTTCATAAATTAAATGAGAAAGTATTTAACAACCTGTGTGCAGTATCTTAAATACAGCATTAATTTAAGTAGAGTACTGAAGTAACTGTACACAATAAAACAGGGACCTTACATAAATCCTTATACTATACAGTATTTTCTCAATTTAACCAACTAATTTGAGCCACCCCTTTCTGTTATATAAAAATTTCTGCTAAATCAAATTTCCGTTATTTTCGCTTAACTTAGCGAACTAGTTCACTAAATCAAGCGTGATTCCATTAAATTCCGTGCTAAATGTGCCGCTTGGAGTTTAGGGTTTGTTTACATCTGCTCAGTCTGTGTACTCCGCCACTGTTACTTCTTGGTCACCTAACTACTGTGCTCAGACGTCATGCTGAAAGTCTTTCAGAAGTCTCAGAAAAGAAGTTGTGTGGGGGAGAAAGTCAAAAGAGAGCAGCTATCATATATTAGCCCCCGTCTAATAGACAGAAATAATGATATAAACGTGGGTTACATACATTAGGTTTATATAATTACATCACCCACAGAAACTTTCCTATGAGCCGTGAGCAGTCATCAACTGGACATGTGACAGTGTATTCCCGCTGTTTCCTCACACCTTGACCGCAGAGTCACCAATTAAGTAGCCAGCTATTACCAGTTCGACTCCTATCTCTATGTCATTGAGACGTGTGCTCTAAGAAACTAGTTATACCTTAGCTTCGTCCCTTATTAACGCTCACAGCTTATAGCATTAATTACAGTGATATCCCAGTAATTGTGCAATAGTTTATTTCTTAATAAATGGAGAAAAGACCATTTGGGTTTGAGAACTTAACCCATAAACATTTATGAATGTTGCTTCCAGTTCACCTCTAATTAGTGATTCCACAGGTAACTGGAAACTACTTTAGTTAAACCATGAATAATGTTTCTTATGGTTCTACATACATATCATGTGTCTGAGGTGTCTCTGTAGGTGTGAGCGTGTTAACGTAATTAATCTCGATTTAGCGAACTACCGGTAGTTCACTAAATCAAGTGAAAAATAACGGAAAAAATTCCTTCCGCTAGTTCGTTACATCAGATTCCGTTAAATCGAGATTATACTGTACTGCACATTACAAGAACAGTATTGTCAATGAAATAACAGAATAATGATAATAGATGCATCATTATAATAATGCACACACACACACACGCTCTACCACCCCCATTGACTTACCAATGAAACTCTTCAAGGAGTTCTCCCCGGAGCTTGCTAAACCCCTATGCTCCATCATCAATGCTTCTCTCAGTCAAGCCAGATGCCCAGCTGACTGGAAGACCTCTTATGTATCACCAGTGCCCAAGTCAACCAGCCCACAATCCTTAAATCAGCTATGACCTATTGCAATCACCCCAATACCCAGCCTAATCTGTGAAAGTTTTGTGTTCGACTGGGCTTATGCTGATATTGCAGGAGTCGTAGACCCTCAGCAATTTGGCAACATGAAAACTTCCTCCACCACTCACTGTCTTGTCAGCTTTCTCGATTACATATACCACCATCTCGAGAAACGAAAAACGTCTGTAGCTGTCGCCTTCATTGATTTCACTAAAGCATTCGACCTAGTCGACCACAATATAATCATCAACAAAGCTATTGACCTCGGGCTTCGGAGAAGTCTTATACCATGGCTTACAGACTTCCTCAGTGACTGACGCCAAGCTGTACGCTTCCGAGGGACTGTCTCCACCTTTCAGTCACTCACCTGTGGCGTCCCCCAAGGCACCAAGATGGGACCACCCTGCTTCCTTATGCTCATCAATGATGCCCTAAGAGAAACCCCTGCTCGCTGGAAATATGTCGACGACTCCACCATTGGGATCAGCGTCAACAATTCTGCTCCCAACTATACCGCCCTTCAGGATTTATTGAACAGTCTCCAAAACTGGGCCACCAACAACCATGTCACCATCAACCATACCAAGACCATGGTTATGCACATCAACCTCTCCTCCGACATTGTCCCACCTCCTCCCATTACTCTAGGTCCGAACACACTCCAGGTTGTAGATTCCACAAAGCTCCTCGGCGTCACCATAGACAACAAACTAAATTGGAAACCACACGTCAGTGAAGTTGTCAAATCCTCCAGTTTCCGTCTCCACCTCCTCCGCCACCTGTCCTATTCTGCACCCAG